ATAGTTCGTGCGTAATTCAGAAAGTGGCGCGTATGAATTGTCACTATCGACTGCATCTTCAAGGTCGTTGACCTCTTCACCTGAATCACTATCATGACAGTTTGTCGGGTCCGCCTCAGATACCAAGCAATTTTCAATATCTACCTCATCGTCTGACTGATCCAAAGCCAACAATAAAGAAGTTATTTCGTCTTCGAAAGATGGATCATCTAGTCGCATTTTTTTTCTCTGAGGTTGTTTTGCACTAGAACAACTCGCTTTAATATTTTCAGCCATTTTACATAACAAAATCTAAAACATACAGAGAAAATTGATCATAATATTTTACATGGCAACAGTGGACGTGGAGCCTGACAGGCTCCAGCCAATATTTCGATGAATATTACTCACGTGTTCTGCATCCAGCGACGTAACCTCCGCCCGCACTGTGTAGTTTGGAACTAAACGTAAAGCTACTGAGACGCTCGGGTGCATGGAGCGGGGGGAAGGGGGTCAAACCAAAAACTGGCCAATCGTGCGGAGCCTGTGAGACTCCACGTCCATACTTAAAGGTTAAAAATAAAATTAGTATACACAATGAGTTTTTTAACCCACTTCCAAAAATGGTGGTTAGCAATTTTTTTTAATCATAAACTAGGTAATCGTGAATACAAAGAATATTAATTCAAAGGTAAGGTAATCGTTAATACAAAGAATATTAATACAAAAGGTAAGATCTACCTAACCTACACATTTTGTTTTTAACCGATTTAAAAAAAATGTGTTAAAACCATTTTTTTTTAATAAATTAGGTAATAGTGAATACAAAGAATATGAATACAAAGGGTAAGACCTACCTAACAATCACATTTCAAAGAAATAGTTTAGCAAACAATTTTATTTACATAAATTAGGTAATAGTGAATACAAAGAATATGAATACAAAAGGCAAGGAACCTACCTATTTAATCCACATCCACCATCCACAGAACACACTATTACATAGCAAAGTGACTTAAGTCAGTGAGGTGTGTACCTACAAACCTAGCCTTACTTGAAATTCAGCAAACCAGCGATAAATTGTGGTTTTGGATGGGGCTTCATGACCAAATGCAGAAATCATCCGGTCAACATACTGTTTTTGTGTTAAAACACTTCGAAAGTCATAAGAAATCATCGCTCTTGAATTTTCTCGAGTCAATTCCATTTTCTCAACGACTAAACAAATTTGACAAAACCTTGTGACAAGACCGAGAATCTTTTTTTAAATAAATAAATGGTATTCGATTTTTAAAACCAAGGAGTTTTCAATTAAAAAGATTTTAATATGACAGGAACAGTGGAAATATTCCATTCCCGATACTTTTAGTGCAGCCTAGTACGTAAAAATATATTACTTAGGATCAGCTGCCTGACAATAAGTTATCAAGTAGCCACTAGGTTGGTTGGAGCAGCTGCAAAGGTGCCGAAACAAGCAATTTGTTAAGATATGTGTTTTGCTCAGTACCATTCTCAAGAATGGTATTGAGTAAAACAGTTACTTATACAAAGCGCCACGTTGCAGGTGGCACACAGAAACTGCGTAAGCTTGTGGCAGATGCTACAATGGCCGCGTTTTCTTTGTTTCAGTTTCTCATTGAAGGGAAACTCTTTCGGGAAATGGCGAAGGATTTCCGTCGAGAATTTCACCTTCAAAGAGTGTGTCGGCTCCAACGGCTCCAACGTGATGACTCGCTGTTGGCCATATTTTTCAAAGATTTCCTTGATAAGGGTTTTGCGGAATTGGCGGTGCGTGGCCACGCGAGGATGTGGATGTTCTGGTACTGGGCTGTCTCTATGTAAAATGTACCCATTGAGCACGCTGGCATTAAGTAGGCGGCGGAAAAACTTTTTGTACCATACCAAGGTTCGCTTCCTTTCGATGGGATACGCAGACAACATTTGGTCCTTTTTTTCTACACCGCCCATGCGGACGTTGTAGTCGTGGACCAATGTTGGTTTTGACTTCCCATCTCTGGAAGCTGAACCCGCACCGTGGTACGTCGACGTCAAGGTGACAACGTTTCGGTCTATCCAAACCAGAATATCAACATCCCCACTCGTAGCGCCGTGCACGCTGCCAAAAGCAAGAGGCTGTTTTATAAGCGCCTTTAAATTTGAGGGCACAATTTGCCTATTTAATCTTAGTGTTCCCACACAATCAAAACCTTGGCTTTTCAAAAGCCTAGAGAGAAGAGGACTATTATAGTAATTGTCCATAAAGACAGTATGCCCCTTGTTCTCGAGCCCCTTAAGTAGCTCGAGAACAAGGAGTGTAATATACCCCAGCTCGTTCGAATCTTCCTCATTGCGACCGGCATGCATCTTAAATCGCCACAAATACCCCGAATTTGAGTCGCACACCTCGTAAGTTTTTATGCCCTTCGATGCTGCTTTGTTTTTGATAAATTGATTGATGCTTAGCCACCCCTTCCACTGAGTCAAAGACTCGTCCAATGCGATGCATTGCCCCAGTTGATAAAATGCTTGAAATTTCTCATTCAAATGCTTCACAATTGGGACAATCTTCGCGATTTTCGCGCCGCTTTCGGAGAGGTGGCTAATATCAATCTCATTATTCACAAAGTGCAGCATCATAATTGCTGGTATGGGCAACGACTCCCAATCAAATTCCGCGAGCGAGTGTGGGCCCTGGGTTGCCGATGCAGCACTCTCGGTAGGCAGGTCTATCGGAGCATCGAAATCCATCAACGAATCTAAATAGATTCGTTCGTTTCGAGGACACTGCATATATCCGAAGACGTCGTCATCTTCGTCCACGTCCTCGTCATCATCTGGATCACTTCCTAAAGACAATTAGTTTAATTAATATATTTTCTACATGACTGCTTCCTTTCGATTAACACTAAAAGTCAGTGACTTACCGTAGTTCACAAGATCCGCCAGCTCCGGATCGTCCACATTATAGACCAGCTTCCGTTTACTTCCACCAGACCTGAAACAAAACAGACACATTAATACAGAGCTCGACAGTAGCAATATGGAAATTGATGGCTATTTCACTTACACGGACGAAGAGAGGTTTACAGATACACCCTTCGGGGTTTCTGACGTGTTCGGAATCTCCATGAACCTAAAATGAATTTGTACAATTATTACTGAACAGTCATGTAGCAGCAGCAAGATACAAATATATGTGCCTATTTAACTTACTCAGCTGGTGAGGGCACCTGCGACGCATATGCCGAGGGTCTGGGTGTCCGCAAGAGTGCCGAACTTGCGATCGATCTGTAAAAAGTGGACATGTAATACAGAGCTTGACAGTAGCAATATGGAAATTGATGGCTATTTCACTTACAGAGACGAAGAGGACCTAGGATTTACACCCTGCGGGGTATCTGGTCTACTCGGAATCTCCATGATTCTAAAACGAAATTTGCACAATTATTACTGAAAAGCTCTGTAGCAGCAGCAAGATACAAATATATATGCCTATTTAACTTATGCCCGAATAGCAACTTAAATCTGTCACTTTATTAAAGGTCCCCTATATTTAAGCATCACTCAAATTTAACTGAAATACAGAAACATCACTCAAGTGATTTGAGGGCTTGATTAGTTGAGCAGCTCTCAAATGTTTACGTCATGTAAACACTCATTTATAAAACTTTGTTCTTCTTGACAATTTTACGATATCTGAATTTAAATACGTTTTATGCACATCATCTAAAAAGATTTAAATAATTTTATGTTCGATTTATTTTGAAATTATATTCAAAAATAATCTCCTAACAATACTTTCATTTAGAATGTGATTTATGTATTTTTTTAAAAATATTATATATATATATATATAAAGGACATATATTATATATGTATAAAAAGGACATTTCAAAGTATAAAATTTTTCGAAAATTGTTCTGTCTGGCGTCCTAGAACGAATCGAGAATCTTACGATAAGGACAATATATTATATATGTATAAAAAGGACATTTCAAAGTATAAAATTTTTCGAAAATTGTTCTGTCTGTCGTCCTAGAACGAATCGAGAATCTTACTGTCATGTGCTGTCAGTGTCAGTTTCTTTGACCGCGTCCAGTGATTTTTAAATTTTCGAATTAATATTTAACATATTTTGCAAATTTCAATTAAAGGCTAAGTACAAATAATAGTAAAATATGGATGTTAAAAAGAGACGCGGATGCAATTACACAGTGTCTGAGAAAGATAATTTATTAGAATTGATGAAAAAGTAAGTAAATATTTAAATCGTTAAATGAAACATAAATTATTTTAACCGAATAGATTGCCCTTTATTACATTGCGAATTAAATAAAAGTTGTTCATATTGTAAGACGTGTTACATATTATTTTAGATATCAACATATTATAGAAAATAAAGAGACAAACGCCCACATTATTTTGAAGAAACGACAAGCTTGGGATTGTGTGTTGTGCAAAGAATACAACGCTGTTGCTGTAAGCGGTGTCAGAAGGTGGCAACAATTACGACATCTGTATGAAAATCTAAAGCAACGGTCTAAAAAGAATGTTGCCAAAGAAAATGTAATCTTTTATTTATCTTGGAGACCATTAATATTAAGTAGTCACGATTTATTGTATTCGTATTATTTCATAATCATTTTGTTTTTAGATTAGATTACAGTACAATGAAAAAACAAAAGAGGCCCAAAAAAAGTCATCAATAGATAAGGTATATATTGCCATATATCTTGAAAATAATTGATCCGCCAGACAGTGGATCACTTTTTTATAATTTTAAGAAATTTTTTAGTGTTATTCTGTTAGCAGTAGTAAACGCTAATTATGAATTTATATACATTCACGTGGGTACAAACGGATGTGTTTCAGATAGTTCCGTGCTGCAAAAGACTAAATTCTATGAGAAGTTGATGGAAGATGGGTTAAATTTACCAAGTCCGTCAACGTTAACAAATTCAAAAATCACTGCACCTTACGTTTTTGTAGGAGACAGTGCATTCGCGCTTGATAAAAACATTATGAAACCATTTCCTCTAAAGAACATAGCTCACGATAAGCGAATATTTAATTACAGGCTCTCAAGAGCTAGAAGGGTGGTGGAAAATGCATTCGGAATTCTATCCTCTAGATTTAGAATAGTTCGTCGTGCTATTTCCATAGATATAGATTACGTGAACACAATTGTCTTAGCTAGTTGTGCATTACATAATTATTTATCAAGAAATAATAAAAAATACATTAATATAATATCTCTCGATATTGAAAATGAATCCGAAGCGTCATTTAAAGTAGCACAATGGCGTAAAAAGACAACCGTAAGAAACGTAGAATGGCGTGAAACACATCCTTTAGTATCTCTTCGTCCACTTAAAAATCAGCGCAATGAGCAAGGAACTGAAGTACGACAATTATTTACAAGTTATTTTAATAATGAAGGCGTAGTTTCATTTCAAGAGCAAATGTTGTCGGTTGTACCCCAATAAAAAATAATAATTTTCTAAAAAAAAACTGTGTTATTTTCAAAATGAACTTACACTTCCACTACTGCCAGCACCATCATCCAACCTATCCTGACCAATTCTTTGTGAAAGATCTTTTTCATCCAGAAATGTAAGATATTCGTAGTACCAAAGCTTTGGACAGTAAATATCTTGAATTCCCGAGCCAGTTTTCATGGAATCTCTAACCTAAAACAAATAATTTAATGACGTGAGTACCGGACTTTGTATTTTTCATTTTTAGTAGACATTACGCATGAAGAGTACCTAAACATTAGCCTCTCCAGTTTGAAAAAAATACTCACCTTTTTTGATTCACGTTTGTACGTTGTTCTTAAATTATCAATTTTTTCTTCATATCAGCTAATGTTGCATTTTTACAAACTTGTTTGAAAACTTTTAAAAGTCTTTCATAGGACTTAGTTCTCAAGTCTCTATTTGAGTAATCTGCTGCCGAAGTGTCCCATAAGCATCTACATTCTTTGTAACACTCCAAAAATAAAACAAAATATTCGCGGGCTGACACCGAATCGCTTTCCCCGTCCGATGACATATCAATGCGCGCGAGTAGGTACACGTCTGAACTGGGACGCTGGTCGTGTGTGACTGTGACGTTTTATCGGACGAATGGTTCTATACACCGTCCGATTTAGGATCCGATTTTAGAAAAAGGACGGTCGGAACATCCGATTCTCCGATTTTGTAATAATAATAATAAAATTAGGACCTGTTGCACAATACATTATCCGATTTCATCCGATAATTAGGATCGGATTGGATAGGATCAGAAGGTGTGGATCATGCTTAATAAATGCAGTTCCTATCAAATCGCGTTGAATAGAAATTACACAAATACGAATTACTACGTATCAACCAAATACAAGTTAGCACAAAAGAAAAGACACAAATCAAATTAACAAATAACAAATACTAGTGCGATCAAATCAAGTTAAATTCAAATTGCGCAAAATGAAAAATCATTTAAAAATTGTATAAATGAAATTATTGTTAAGTGAAATATGTTTGAAAAAAAAGTCCCGCTGGGTTTCTTGCTGGTTCTTACCAGGACAGAGGTATTTTCCGAACCAGTGGTAAATAAAAAATGACTTTCAATAAGTATTATGTAATAATCAATATTGTATAAAAAATATTCTATTCTATTCTATTAATATTTATTTGAAAATCGACAATCACATTGTCACATTTTTTTATTATGAGTGATTTCTGGATCTCAACAACGGATCTAATTGAGAATTTAAACCGTCCAGGGACTCAAACAAAAAAAAAAATCATCCAAATTGGTCCAGCCTTTTAGGAGTTCAGTGACAAACACACAGAATAATTATGTTAAGTTACTGTATTTTCATGAATCTACACTGTGATATAGCAAACTTTTCACTGAATATTGTTTTTATTATTCGTTATGTTGTAAAGAATTGATTTTAAAATTAAAAAAAAATATTAACCAGTAAAATATGTATTTATTAACAATGTCCTCACAATAAAGTTTTGATTTACTTCATTGCTGGGTTGTACCATAATTTCTTCCTCTACAATAGTTAAAGGATCATCCTCTTCAACTACTTCATCCTGTCTTAAAATAGCAATATTGTGGAGTACTGCACATGCCACAATAATAGGTGGAATATTTGTAGTCTTCAGTCCTAACCCATAGTGGAGACAGGGAAATCTTCTTTTAAGAACACCAAAGAGCCTTTCTATTGGATTTCTGGTTCTAATTTGTGAACGGTTATATGCTTCTTCAGCTGGTGTCCTTGGATTTAAAATTGGGGTTAACAAATAGGGGTGACATGGATAATCACTATCGCCCAGAAGTACCATAGGGGTAAAATCTCCTCGCTCTAATTGGGCACATAATGGTGAGTCGTTAAAAATTGTACTATCATGTACAGAACCTGGCCATCTTGCAATGATATTTCTTATGCGCAATTTCGCATCACATACCATTTGCACATTCAAGGAGAAGTAACCTTTTCTATTTCGGAAACTTTCAGATTGAACTCCCCCTGCAAAGGTTTAATAACAATCAGTGTAGGTATATAACATATTAATAATTAGAATCTGTACCTGGAGAATTAATTTTAATGTGCGTACAGTCAATACCACCCATCACTCTTGGAAATCCAGCAATTGCATAAAAGTCATTTGCTACTTCTAGACGTTCCTCAGCAGTTGGCATATTTATAAAAAGTGATCTAATATTCGCTATTTTTTCTGTAACTCTGTGCACGATTCGATGCACAGTCGGTTGCTCGATGTGGAATATGTCCCCTATAACTCGTTCATAACTGCCTGTAGAGTAATACCGAAGGGTTATCAATATTTGATCCACGGGCTGCAAAGATCTATTTCTTTTCGTTAATGGTTTTATCGTGCTGCCGAATACAGAAACCAAATACAACACCGTTTCTTTGGAAACGCGGAACTGCGCACGAAATTCTTTATCGTCATATTTTCCGAAAGCGTTAAGCTTGATATCATTTCTTCGACTTCTTAGAGGCGTTTCGTTGTCCTAAAGAGAAGATAACGACGAAACGGACATATTTAAAACTTGCAAAATACTTTTAACAGATTTGAGAGTCCTCGCTACCACACTCAATAATAACGAGTACTTAAATCAATTTGACATTTGATTTGACAGCTAAAACGCGTTGAGTGATGTTTCAGTATACCATTTTTTAGTTGAGTAGTGTTTAAGCGCAACTCAATTTGAGACACACTTAAATTTAAGAGATACTAAAATTTAAATATGAGAATACGAATATAGGGTTTAGGAGCTGCTCAAATGTTAGACTAGCCGTTATATATTTGAGGGACGTTTCAGTATTCGGGCACTACTCAGCTGGTGAGGGCACCTGCGACGCATATGCCGAGGGTTTGGGTGTCCGCAAGAATGCCGAACTTGCAATCTATCTGTAAAAAGTGGACATGTAATACAGAGCTTGACAGTAGCAATATGGAAATTGATGGCTATTTCACTTACAGAGACGAAGAGGGCCTAGGACTTACACCCTGCGGGGTATCTGGCCTACTCGGAATCTCCATGATTCTAAAACGAAATTTGCACAATTATTACTGAAAAGCTCTGTAGCAGCAGCAAGATATAAATATGTGTGCCTATTTAACATAGTCGACTGGCGAGGGGACCTGCGACGCAGAAGCCGAGAGTCCAGGTGTCCGCAAGTGTGCAAAGGTCGCGTTAGATCTGTGAAAAGTTGGCATGTAATATACAGCTTAACAGCAGCAAAAAAAAACTTCTCAGCCAACGACGGCGCAGGCTGGTTGGGAACCCAACGCCGTGGCACTTTTTGGTGCATGGGTTTCTCGAGTGGGCTACCATACCAACACGTACCGTCAGTCAGTGGAGTCTGGATCCGTCGTAATGATGTCCCCGACATATAACGGCGCTCTATTAAAACAGTATATTACAAAATAAGCTGCAGCTGCATAAACATAAATATGTATTTAGTAAAAATAAACACACACCTTTCAATTTCATGCACTCGCCCTCGACCACCTCTTGTTCGTGGTCCACGTCCCTTCCCCCGTTGTTAACCACGTCCAACCCCTCTATTCACACCGCGTCCACTCCCACGTCTACCTCCTCGACCAACCACCGCTTTGCCACCTCTTGTCCTTAAGCCATGCAAAGAAAAGAAAGAAAAGGAACTTAAATAAATAAAAAAAAAGTTTTAACAACACACGAAACAAAAAAAACCACAAGAAAGTCAAAAAATGAAATGTCTCTCTCGGTCGGGAGACTACAAAAGAGAAGTACTAAAAGGGTATTTACACGGGTCAGGGTTTTTTTAAATTTATATATTTTATTTTTATTTCATTATATTAAAATTACACCCAAATAAAAAAAGCCTCATTGAAATCGCTTGATACATTTATGCACTACGAATATAAGTACAGACAGACAGACAGACATTTTCTTCCCGCCATTTTGTTTTTTTTATTGCACCTAAATTTGCCCAGGCTGTACATTATTTTACACCCCTCTTTTTGCGGTTAAAAACAATAAAAAGCAATTCAAAGGACAATGTCCAAAATCGCCCTGTGTAATAAAAGCATCGGACATACACAATAATTAATTTTCTATTTTATTATGTTAGTTGCAAATATTTTTATAACACGGACTAGCTGCGTGCGAAAATGAACATTAAAAAGTATTCTACTCGACTAATAACATTAATCGCCGCCATCTTCGCCAAACACCATGTGGTGTCGAAAAATGATTAGGGATGCCCAATCGATTGTAATCGATTTTTGAATTTAATGAAATACATTTTGAATTTATTTCGAATGAAGTTTCAAAAAGAAGCTGCAATAAAAATATAAAATTACCATTTCTTTATATTATTTTATATTATTCCCTAAAAGTATAATTTAAAAAACCTACTATACCTAATGAATGTGGTCATACTCGATTTTGAATAGGTAGTTAGAATAATGCTGAAGAAAAATATTCGTAAAGATAATTATTCAGGATTTTCTAACGTTCGTTTAGAAAGCATTGTATTTTACGTCTTACTAAACGATAACTTACGAGTTTACAACAATTAATATTAAAAAAAACACTTATCGTTACTGCATTAATTATGAATGTGTTCTTTAAAAAGAGCAATATTGTAGACTAGATATAGACGTTATTATTAATATTGTTACAATTATGGAAGAAGTAGAGACGTACCTGTTATTATAAGTAAAGTAGGATATTGTCATACTTGTAATGGTATTAATATTATCGTATGACAAAAGATGATTTATGATGTGATGTGTGTTTGTAACGTATGGCTATAATAAATCTTAGGAAATATTCATAAATCGTATCGTATTTGGCGCTCCTATTTTTGATGTCACTAAATGGTCACTTGTCAGTCTCTTATGAAACATATACGATCTCCAAATCGATTCAAATCGAATATATTAGAATCGAATCTCGATTTAATCAAGCATTA